TATTTCTTTCAGAATTAATAATATTGTTTACCAAAAATTACTTTTAGTGGGCATCTAGTCAACGGTTAGTCGAAACTGATGATTCCCTTCCACAAGCACAAATATCCGGGTGGCAAAATTTCGGGTGATGTTTTTAATGGAACTATTTTGGAAGACAATAAGATTATGATAGTCATTAAAGATTTCATAAATAGAAGTAAACCGATACGATACCGATACCGATGCTTTTATAAAAATATTAGCGATATCGATACGCTTATTGATTCAAAAATTAAGGTAAAATAATTAAAACACAAGTCAGGTATTTTTTAATTAATATAAAAAGAACAAATAACAGGGCAAACCAAATAAAATCGTTTTAAGCTATAGACAGGTTGAGATTAGTTAATAGTTTTAGTAATTAAAAATAACATTGATGTGATTTTTGTTTAAAAAACAAACTATTCTTAAATTTTTCCGGAGAAATGCGATTTCGCGAATCTGTTTGAATAAGACCTGCGGTGGAAAATAGTCTCTCAGATGCGATAGAACTCATTTGGAAACTAAACTACTTCTGTGCCATATTTTTCAAGTTTGGGTATAAGACGTCATTGCGCCAGAAAACGAACGGATCTGCGCCTCTCGATATATTAGGAGACCTTAGGTATCTCTCTACTTCTTCTTTCACAGAATTAAAGCTCAGAGTAGACAGGGGAAACAAGGAAGCAAGACACTGAGGTTCCCCGAGCATAGTTAGTTCGTGCCTTGTTTGCAAGGAAATAGACGAGATAACAAGCGCGTTTACATTACATTTTTAAAGCGCGGCATTTGAAAAGTATCGTTGAATCGGCCATAAAAATATCGCCGTTGCCGATATATCGGCATCGGTATCGGTATCGGATGCATCCTAAGTAAATAAGTGCTCCGATTTGAAGGATAAGAGAACTAGTTGAATTATAAATTGTAAGAACCAGTAATGTTAGATATTATATGAGAGCCACGTTATATACTACGTTTACGTTACGCCATTAAACGTGGTAGATTCATGCTGCGGCTATATTATTGCTGCTGCACGAATGGGTCGACTCGACAGCTCTCACAAAGTATCAGCGCAAAATACTAGCATATTGGTATCGTAACGATCGACGAGAACCAGATAGCCTTTTTCATAGTAATAAGGCATTCTCTATTTGGTCAGGACTGACTACGCATCTGCATTTTGATTTTAATCGAGTATAAATGTAAGTGTTATCGTATGTTACCTTCCACTTACCACCAGGTGGGCGGTGTACTCGTTCACCGTTGCTTCTATAAAAAAAAAACATTGTGTCGAATGTTTTACAGCAGTCGTGGTGAGGAAGGACAGGAATACTGTGTTTATGCATAATTGTATCATCTCGTAATTGTTCTCTCTCGTATTGATTTACATATTTTACTCAATTTAATTATTTGCTTAGTCACGTTCGCAGTTTTTATCAGGTTAAATTTAAAAAAAATCTTAACTTTTATTATATCAGAGATTATACCTTCATGCACCAGTTGTGGAGAAGTCAGTCATCCTGACTATGCTTAAAAATTCGATTAAATACTGTGGGAATTTTAATGTCAAAATTTAGTGGATTTTAGTTTTACTGTATATGTTTTGAAATAACCTAAGCCATAATGGATATACTCTTTTATCTTTATAATATATTAAATTGGTTCTCTGGCACACGGATGTAATCCCATATTCTATAAGGATATTATCTATTATATGTATAAAATATTAGGATATTTAAGAAATTAAATAACCTGATTTTTTTATAGGATAGGGTGACAAACGAGCACACAGTCCACCTGATGGTAAGTGGTTGCAGTGGCCCATAGACATCTACATCTATCCTCGATTACGCATCAAAATGCTGATGCGTTGTCACCCGTGAGGACTAAGATGGAATGCCTTGTTTCCAGTAAAAGGGGTCTCCCCGATTCTCTACATTCACCATACAAAACACAGCAGCATTAAGCTGCTATTTTAAGATGGTATTTAGTGAGCGCCTTGTCCTTCCCAGGTCGAGCCGACTCATTCGTGCTACAACTATACTATTAATGTATAATCAAAAGTATAATGTTCTTTTTTTAGTTTTTAATTTCCTAAGAACTTTTAGTGTCATCCTCGTAATGTTCGCAATTTATCATCCAAATATTCATTTATAGAACAGTAAGCCTTATCAAGAAGGAGTTATTTTAAATTATTATCAAATTTACTACCCTGGAGAGGAGTTAGGCAAGTGACTGTATAACTTGTCTGCCGTACAGAATGGATATTACTAGTTGGCAGGATTTCATTTGTGGCAGTTAGGCACCATCCTCCTATTTCTGCCGCAGTGCCGTACTAGGCATTCAGTCTTAGTCCTCAGAGGAGACAACGCATCTGTAGCTCATTTGCCGTTCACACTTCGTTCTCGGTCTGATTTATTATAATGGAATGGGATTGGACTGAAACTTGACTATTACGGATAGTATGAATGCACACACAATTTTTTTACTTGATAATATTTTATCATACCGAGATCGGATCGAGAACGAGCTGTGAACGGCATTATAATGAGGATCGGCCCTTATTTGTATACATTTGGCTGCAGGTGTCCATGGACTGCTGCAGCTACCTACCATCAGGTGGATTCATATTCCGTTTGTCACTTCAGTTCTAGAAAAAAAAACACCTGCGTTACGAATGAATAAAATAGAAAAGTCATCTAAGTACAGTGTATAAGAAAGAAATGTAATGGAACCCTATAAGCACTGTTTTGTCCTTTTATAGCGAACAGTATGTTGTAAGGACATTTACTGTCCACTCGGAGTCCCGCGGTTTGCATTGCGCGCTTTAATTGCATTGTTTGACGTGTATAAGGACATTTAATGCAATATTAACGGTCGCGTTGACATTTGTGGACAGGGAGTACTGATGAACGTGCACGTGTAGTGTTATAGTAAGTGCCATTTAACCATTGAAATAATACAATCAGGGAAAATCCCCCCAAAAAATATATAAATGCCATTTAACCATTTTGAAATGAATTGGAAAAAGAATTTCTATGCTAGTGCTGTTGACGATAACGGATATTGTTATATGTTATTGATGTGTATGTTAGTGTTGTAGAGACTAGCATTTTTCAACTTTCACGATTTATAGTCTTCGTGGCTTTGTCATGTCACGACTCGTAATCAAAGGAGATTTCTTGTGTTACGTTATTTTCCTTCCAAATCCTCTTCGTGTATGTTGGCGGATGTAGTGACACTTATCATCCTTAGGTACATATACCATAGGTATTGGAGTTAATTAACGCAGAAGAGATATGATATCACTACTGTTTGCACTGATATATTATTATGTTTATACAAGCCGGTATAATATAGTCGAACTTAAAAAATTAATGCTCGACTTGGTTGAAATTTTTTGGAGTTTTTAAATAAAATTAAAAAAATAATACTTAAAGAAAATACTGGGGAGCTTATAACAATCTCCTTTTGTTGATTGAGAATTTTTTTCTACATTTTTCACGATCATATTATGAGCATTCTAAATTGTGCACTTTTTGATTTTCCAAACTTTTTTATTGACGTTTGACATAAAACTATCTTTTATATTATATAAACATAACATAAAACACTCACGCCTGTCACCCAGAGGGGTAGGCAGAGACTACGGACTTCCATTTGGCACGATCCTGACATACCTCTTTCGCCTCCTTTACATCCATATATCTACGCATACATGGTCGTCGGTTAAGGGTTCTTCTAACGTGGCCCATTTTCAAAATATCGCCAATTTGGTCGATAAACTTTTTTCTAGGGCGTCCCTTCCCGACTCGGCCGTTCACATCTGCCATATAAATTTGCTTTGTCACTCTTTCCTCATTAATTCTTTCTACATGACCAAACCACCGAAGCATTCCTTTCTTAATCCTGGTCCGAACATCATCTTGCATACCACATTTATCTCTTATCACGCAATATCTCACCCTGTCATTCAAATTCAACCCTAGCATATTCCTTAAAGACCGCATTTCTACAGCATTTATTCTACTTTCGTGCTTTTTCTGCCACATCCAGCTTTCACTACCATACTTTAAAGTAGGGACTAACACAGCATTATGAATTACCATACGTGCCTTTTTTGACACATTCTGGTTCTTCATAATAGAGTGTAGTGCCCCATCCACTCTATTCCCTGCATTTACTCGTCGTTCTATATCCCTATCATATCTACCATCCCTGCTAAATACACATCCCAAATACACAAACTCATCCACTTGCTCAATTAACTCTCCTTCTGTTCTTATTTCACATACCGTTTTGCTTTCTTCTCTTTCAAAAACCATCACTTTCGTCTTACTTGCGTTCACTTTCATTACCCTTTCTTTTAATTCCCAGTTCATTAATGTAACCATCATTTGCAACTCAGCCGCTGATGACGCAAATATGACTTGGTCATCGGCATACAGAAGGCATTTGACGGTTAACTCGCCCATTCTTAATCCACATTCTTCATCTTTCAAAGTTTGCAAACAGCTATCCATAATTAGGTTGAACAGCCACGGGGAAGCTACACAGCCCTGTCTGACACCTTTTTGGATGCCAAACCAGTCCGAGTAGACCCCATTGATCCTTTAATATATTATATTTATAATATATTTTTGAAAACATGTGTCTATTTAAAATACTTACTTTAAAAATTTTATGTATAACATGAGCGCTTAAAGCATGCACATTTGGATTTACCAAATGGTTTTTTAGTCTACGAGAAAAAAACTAACCCAGTTTTCTCGCAATTCTAAAATGTTTCTTGCGGAAAAAAATTACGTGATATTTACCGAGACACCGCTGTCCACCACATAAGATTGGGTGAGTTCGGCTCGTCCCCATCCTCCCTAACACCTCACGTAATTAATAGATGTTCTCATACAGGAGAAAATCCGAGTATAGTTGTAAAGTTTTTAAAAATGAAAAATAAATAAATGTTAATACGTTGTCCACAGTGCGCAGCTACGATAAACATGACAAATGCGGGCTGGTGTGGATCCCGCGCGTGGTGGCGTACCGCTGCCGCACGTGCGGCATCTCGCCCTGCATGTCCATCTGCCGCGACTGCTTCCACCGCGGCGACCACTCCAACCACGACTTCAACATGTTCCTGTCGCAGGCTGGCGGCGCCTGCGACTGCGGCGACAACTCCGTCATGAAGGAGGACGGGTGAGAAACACTCCATTTTTTTTAAATATATAAAACTTGCCGTCCCGGCTTCGCGTGGGAGATTTCTGGATCTCGACAATAGCGCCACCTACCGGGTTCAATTGTGAATGTAAACCATACAGGGACCCGCTCAAACAATTTGTTCATCACCTTGTCAGTAAATTCAGTATCCTTCTCTACTTTTCCTGTGAACACTGAGCATGTCGTGCGTCAGCGGAAATTCCCCGAGCAATAATGCCAACCATCGGCTACAGAGATGAAGATAATATGTTATCATCATTCATCATCATTACATCCCTTCACAAGTCCACTGCTGAACATAGGCCTCCCCCAAGGTATGCCACAAAAAAACGGTCCTGAGCCACCTGCATCCATTGACTTCCTGCATGTCTTACCAGGTCGTCACTCCATCTAGTGGGGGGTCGCCCTACACTACGCCTACCGGTACGAGGCTGCCACTCGAGAACCTTTTTTCCCCAACGGTTATTCAAGCTATATGGCCGGCCCATTGCCACTTCAGCTTACTAATCCGTTGGGCTATGTCGGTCACTCTGGTTCTACTGCGGATATCCTTATTTCTTAGTTTATCACGCAGACAAACCCCGAGCATAGTCCTCTCCATTGCTCGCTGAGCGACTTTGAGCGTCCTCATACGTCCAGATGGACGATAATATGTTAATGAGCGAAAGCAAATACCCGCGCGATTTGAAATGACATTACATTTATCTATATAATATAAATGTATAATTATATATTTTATATTAGTTAATAGTATAATGTGTAGATGCAGATGTACCTCCCTGAAAGTATTCCTGGCGGCGCTCATGAGAGCATATGCAATCAATTTCAAACAAAGAAGGCTACAGAAGTCTATGAACTAAGATGGAATCTTTGTTTGCTAACTAATTTATTGCGTAACTCAAAGTCGTATTCCTGCATTAGTTCAATCCACCTCGCAACTTGTCCTGGGTTTTTAAACTGCAATAGCCATTTTAGTGCAGCATGGTCAGTTCGTAAGTGAAATTTTCGTCCCAGAAGATATTTGCTAAAATGTTGCAACGACTTTACCACAGCTAGCAATTCGCGTCTTCTGACACCAATTGTTACGAGCTTGAGGTTCGTGACAATAAAAATTGCCGATAGAATTACCTAAATTAACACTTTAATTTTCTTTACACCAATTAAAACTTAAAACACTAAAAATTAATCACACTGATTCACTTTATTTCGCTCCGAAGCTTCGCTTTTCTCGCCAAATTCAATACTTCCCCGATCGCGTATTGCAGCGCCTTTATATAGGGCTCTTCCACGAAAACATCCAGAATATTCGAGTAAATACGCGCGCCAACCGACCAAGCGCAGAAAGTTCGAGTTTGGGGCTTCCAGAAAGCTTAGTTCTTCAATTCGATACTAGATGGCGCTGTCGGTTGAAAGATTAGTGATGTCATTTTCTGGAAAGATCTCTCTACTCTCTGTTACCCGACACTAGATGGCGCTATTACCAGATGTCAACTTAGCCGCGCAACAATATTATACTGCAGGAAATATTAATAGTTAACAGCTGCTGTAAGTTGGAAGTTTTTGTCGCGGTTTAACTCAATCAGTAGGACATCATTTATTAAAATTTCCCATACGAGTGTTTATGGTGATCGAAATCTAAATGTCTCAGATTAATACCACAAAAAGCTGACAAAGATATATCAATAATACGAAGCAATATTATAATAAAAATAATTGCATTATGTAGAAGTGACTGCTTTATTTTCACAGTGTTAAATACGTGGATTGAAAAAAGTCTTAAGCTGTCACACGGTAATGTACATATTGACAATGTTTACCTGTATCTACTATTTAAGCGAAGTTAACCCATTAGCGTGTGCATAACCTGTAATTATAGTCCCACTCCGTTAGAATACGTTGCGCATGGAGTGGGTTTGATAAATAAGTAAATAATACAAGATTATATTATATTGTACGATTATTATTTTTTAAAAGCCCTAAGGAATTTAAGTGTAGACTAGAAAAGTGTTTGTCGACGTTAAAAAAGGCGAACATTGAAAATCCGCCGACGTTTATACAATACAATAGTTGTCATTGTGCACCAAGAAAAGGTTAACATAACAATATATACAAATATTGAGGGAAATTATAAAAAAAAAGTAAAGTTACAGCCTATATACGTCCCACTGCTGGGCTCAGGCCTCCCCTCATTTCTGAGAGGGTTTAGGGCAAGGAAGTGTCCGCCGCGCTGCCCAAATGCGTGTTGACGAACTTCACATGTCTTCGAAATATTTTTTTTCTTATTCCTCAGACATGCAGGTTTCCTCACGATGTTTTCCTTCACCGCCGAGCACGTGGTAAATCAGCACTTAAAATTGCAATTAACAATTTCATTGGTGCCGGCGGGGATCGAACCCGGGTTACTCGCGTTCTGTTATATTTACAGCGAGCGTTAACCACTGAGCTACCACGGCTCTTAAATTATAAGCTCGGAAATTATAAGGCGACAAAAAACTCAAAGAGGAATGTGTATAGGCCTCTTTCTTGTATGACAGTAAGGATTGAACACATTTAATCGACAGAGGTATGGAGTTCCATAGTTTGTGAACAAAAGCAGAGAAAGATAATTTATTATAAAATGTAGAGGAGTGCACACACCATTAGAGCGATGCACACACCATTTTCCCGTGGACCGTAATAATATTTTAATCAAATTAAGTCATTTATTTCCAATCAAGGTGTATATAAAATTGGGCTTACATTGAAACTGTGCATGCAACTCAGACGCCCTTTTCAGCCACTGCAAGTTTGACGGGGACACTGCTTATACATAAAATATACTTAGAAGCTAGATAACTATAAAAATACATAAAATGATATTTTATAATATCTAAATATCAGTGGAGGAGCACTGAGTAGAAGGGATTTTGTTTTAAATACATATTGAGGCTTGATTGAAAGTACATAACAGTTTTGTCGCGACTGTGGTAGGTATAGTTTATTTTTGTTACGTGTATTTATGTTATCTGTTTGTTTAATCTTCTTGAAAATATTATTATTATTGTGGACAAACAGGCGTAGATCATAAAAGTACATACAGGGTAAGGTAAGAGTATTTAGTTTTTTTGAAATACGGTTTACTAGTACTAGGTACTACTGCTAGTTGTGTTTATGAGCTTATGAGTTATGACCGAAGCTGAAAAATTTGAAACTTTCTTTTGGATAGGGTGGAAATGATATATTAAAAAGACAGTAGAGATTGGAATGAACGTGAATATTTCGATGAAAACGAATTATAAGCCGCTTTAATTCAAGAATTCTTAATTTTACTGATCCGTAAAAAATTCAAAAACAGTATTGATTCTTCCCCCATAGTAGGAAGAAGGGTCAATTTCAGTAGAAAAAAATGTTAAAGTAATTATTCGAAAGGTATACACTAAGTGTATGGTGTCTGTGACATGTCAGTTATGAGATTTGTAATTTTTGTAGTGTTGTCTACTCCGTAAGTTCGTAGTTTTGAGTCAGCAAGAGCGTAAACGACGTGACGCTTCACCGACAGAGCTGAGGTAAACAGGTAGTGACTTACGAACTCTATATTTGGTGAATGCTCGCAATGGATGGACAATATCAATGTAGTTCACATTGGATATACATAGTACAGTATAATCCTAATCGACAGTACGGTACACCGTCGATTAGTCAGTTCAAACTAGATACCTATTAAATTATATTTGTTACTATTACATATTCGTAGCATCAATAATCCCTTTATTGAAACTAGTTTTACTTGTCAAAATGTTAAGCAGTAGAGGAAAACTTTACTAGACGTTAGGTAAACCTTACAACGTTACAGTTTACGATCACTAAAAATATGGTGAACGAAATGAGAGCAAATAATAATCATGACATTGTTGAAACCAAACCAAGGTAATTGGCAGAAAACTAGTACACAAAATCTTTATGCTGAACTTTTTATGGTTTTAAAAATAATACTATAGATTTCATGCGAACAAAAGAAACTAGATCCAACATACTACAGAATTTTTTGTCATGTGATATAAGAGTCTAAAAATACTAAATATCACACACACACAATAGTCTAGAAGTCAGACATCAAAACAATGGAAGTGCCCGTATGTCGCTACGCATCGGCTTTGAACTTCACCTTGGCCGAGCCGTGCGCTGCTCTCGGCCTTGACCGCGTGCCGTCCAGATCTGGACTATAGTATTCTCTCTGCTCGTGTTTATCAAGAGCGATAATGCGATACGGATTGTGTTTTATTGTTGCATTAAGCACAGGCATTACTCTTGTAATATACAAAAAATATGCAGAATCTGACTTCCGCCATGTTTAAAACTTTATCAAACAAAGATTGTGTGAAAATGGTTAATATAATGTTAAGGAATGTATCGATGATAATGACCCCTGGGAATGAGGTGATAGCTATTTCTAATCATCCATCCATCTCGGTACCCATTCAAACACACACAAAAATTTCATCTCAGTCAAAATCACGTCAAAATCTTTCGAGCCGTTTTTGAGTTTAAGTGAAACTACCGCATAGCAAATGATTTTCATGTATAGAGATAAGAGGGGGCACAGGAGTATGCGGCTAAACTGATGATGAGTGACTCGCTGGCCATGAACAACTGCAACACCACGCGAATTGCAGGTGCTTTGCCGGCCTTTTAAAAAAGAGGTAGATAGGCTCTTTTCTTGAAGGTTCCTAAGTCGTATATCGGTCTGGAAAAATCGCTAGTGGTAGTCGATTCCAGAAGGGAATCGTGCGAAGAAGAAAACTTCTGGCTAATCGCACATGGTGGACCATATAACGCGAGTATAGTATACTCGAGACCCTCGCTTCCCCATCGGTTTTGATTCGCTATATGACCAGCCAATTGCCACTTCTACTCGTTGGTCCGTTGGGCTAGTCTACTTAATTAGTTACAGTCGGTTCTACTGCGGGTATCTGTGTGTATATATGTATATATAATAACACTACAAGGTTCGTTTTATTCTGCAGAAACTACATGGTAAAATAGTAAAATACTGGTTTTCCACAGATTCCGTTACCTAAAGCACAATATTGGTTTTTGTCGTGCTGTCTCGAAGGTTTAAAAACAAATGATACTCATCTTTCTTAATAGCTTGTTGTAGTTGTCGCCCTAACAAAATATTATGATTTCAGATTCTGTAGTAACCATGGAAACAAATGCCCGAGAACGGGCGCTGCGCCAGCCGAGCTGATGTGTGTGGCTGAAGCCATGATGCCTCGCCTCATACTGCGTTTGCTGCAGCATTTTAGAGAGAACAGGTTATTTCTGTTGTATAATTTACAAATAAATACTTAAACGTACTAAAAAAAGAAAACGTACTAAAAAAATAAATACTTAAACTTACGTAATATATTATTAGCCGAAAATTTAGAGTTAAATATTTTTATAACTGGGGCATTTAAACCGGCTGTTTCTGTACTTATTACTTTATTAAATAATAAACATAGAAATCATTGCTGGATGCCAGTGTATTTGAAAGTTACATTTGCATCTATTCCTTGCAGGACAAAACATGCAACAGCGCAAACGTTAAGCTTGTCAAATATAAATATATCTTATTATATATAAATTACGTGTCCGTGATGGACTCCTAAACTACTTAACCGATTTTAATCAAATTTGCACACCGTGTGCACTTTGGTCCAACTTGAGAGATTTTGCCCATGAGGGAGCCAGATTTTTTTTTTGCGAATTTTAAGGGTTTTTAATAGGTCATGACAAAGGGTCGTCGAAAAGGGCAGAACAACGTCTGCCTGGCAAGCTAGTATAATATATATAATTATGTAATATTACCGTTACAGCCTATTAAAGTCTACTGCTGAACATAGGCCTCCCCTGTAGATTGCCTCAGGAGCAATATTTGCCAGCGTGATTACCACTGCAGTTTTATTTTTAGTTGTTATTGTCCTGATTTGTTCCCACTGCTGGCACGACAGTCACGGGATGATGTGGGCTAATGATTATTCTTAAACCGCAACTACACGGCCTAATGTTATTAAATGATAATTTATATTTTTAAATTTTTAATCAGTTATCAAGAAATTATTTCTGTAAGTTGTTTTATACGATAAGTTTCTAAGTATTTTTTTTTACAATTTGGGGTTATTTTTGGTGCAATTGCACGGTGTCGTTAATGTGGAATCGTTTGTGATAAGCATTCGATACTCTTCATTTTAGTTGGGGGCCCCAAACGACGTCGGACAGCTACCGTATCGCTGTGCAGGAGTGCGAGGGCTACGTGCAAATGCTCATGGAGTTCAACAACATGGGCGACCTCATGCGCTCCGCCATGACTAAGGCGCTCATTAACCCACAGGTAACATACTCGCGTTTATTACACGTAATTACTACCAAGAGAGTAATTTTAACCGCTATAATTGTCACACTTAGTTACACGCCTGGCAACAACCTGTTGCCGAAATGTTTACTTTGTTAAGATTAAATAAAGGAAGGGTTAAGGCCAGGAATCTCGGAAAAGTGTCTATAGTTTGTTAAAACATATCCATAAAATATGAGGCAGTAGGTTTTCTTTAAAGTAAGTGTGCGCTATCAATTACGACGAAATGATATACCATCAGGTATGGTAGTCGTTGGGCATTGGCTTATTGTAAATCTTCTGAAAATTCTAATTCAGGTATTCTATAAGTGAGTGGCTTCCTTTTTTTTATGGAATAACTGTGACAAACGAGCAAACCTACATCACCTAGCGTAAGAATGTAAATGTTGACGTTCTGTCATCCCTGAGGAATAAAATGGTGATATTTCACTCTGGTATTCTGTGAGAGTGTGATGCTTCCCAAATCGAGCCCACCCATTCATGCTGCAACCACAATATAAGCTTTACTCTATAAGGGGTGGCTTTGCAAACTTAGCATTGAAAACATGAAAAATTGTAAACAAACAAATACTAGCAAAAGTGGATTACTTGCTCACATATTCCAATTCTGTGTTGTGTTCAGATGTACCGCAACCTGGTGGAGCCACCGTTCCCGGACACGGAGTATGGGCGCTACATGGCCGAATCCAATAAGATGTATGAGAAGGCCATCGAATCCTTTCCTGCGCCTGAGCCACCGGACGAGTGAGTATACGCGAGCTTCTATATGTGTCACCATCATCATTACAACCCTTCACAAGTCGACTGCTAAACATAAGCACGGTCCTGAGCAATTAACACCAATATGTTTAGTAGAGGACTTTTTTATAAAGTAAGGGTGACAAACGAGCACACAGTCCACCTGATGGTAAGTGGATGCTGTGCCCCATAGACATCTACATTTATCCTCGATTAAGAATCAAAATTCAGATGCGTTGTCACCTCTGAGGACTAACAGCCTGGCCACGGGACATTCGCCGTAGCGAAAATTCGCGCGGCGCGAACGGCGAGGCGTCTAGCGACTAAAACAAATGTATAGAAACGTATGAAGCATGCCACGAGTAGCGGCGAGTGGCGACGCGACCGGCGAAATTTACCGGGCGAAACGCGCGGGCGACTGGCGGCGCGGCGAGCGAATGAAACAAATGTATGAATCAGTACGGTGAAAGCCACGGAGTCGGGCGGCAGACACGGCGAATATTCTAGTTGTTTTCGCCGCGAAAAATGCCGGGCGGACAAAAACAACTTAAAATTCATATCCGCATTGACTTTTATCTCCAATTCTGGTTGAATATTAACAAGAATATAATCGCAGGTTTCAACACTCATTCTGGTATTTACTCGAATTTTTTTCTAGATGCATTCTATTTGTTGGGGAATTCTCCATCTATAACCCGATTCCTATTCAAATCAAGTACTCCGCAATCTCATCCAAATATTATGTCTTAAATCAAAAAACAATTACTTTCTAAGAAATATCGAGATAACTTTGATAAAGACATTTCACTCTCGGCCTACCTGGTCGCGGCGGCAAACATGACTTCCCGTGGCCCTCAAATCGCGCAGCGCGAATTTTCGCCCCGCCTGTCGCTTCGCCGTTCGCGCCGCCGATCCCCGTGGCCAGGCCGTAAGATGGAATGCCTCGTTTCCTCGGAAGTGACTTGTGATGGGCTATGTAATTCAATTCTTATCCAATGTGTATAGTTTATTGACCGTGAAAGAAAAAGGGGTGATCTCCCGCCGGGCAAGGTGTTCAGTCCGGGGAGCGGCCAACGCTTCTTGTGTAATTTTTTTTTATTTCTTTATTAATGAGAAATAAATCACAATGTGAATATGTCGCTCCATTAATTCATCACCAAAACAATTACATTAGATACACTTAAACTTATTACATTATAAAGTTCTCAAATCTGTAATTAATTACAAAAAGTAGAAGAAAATATGCATTTAGTTACAAAAAATAAAATGAAAAGTTCCCAGATCAATCACATTGAGAAGTGAGTGATCGATCCGTGAACATCACCTTGTAAAGTTTGATTAATAATTTTATATCGTCAGAAATCAGAATGTGGCTTAGCTAAAATTATATTACAATTTCTGAGCTGTTCTGTACATAGCGCGGTAACTTCGGAACTTTTATAGCGTGATTTAGGCTTCGGTGCGTTTTGATTGCGGCGCGGCTACAGCGCCGCCACTTCACCCTCCAGCCCAGACAGGAGGTCGTTGGTGCAGTCTAGTTAACAACGAATTGACAAAGATGTGGATACATAATATCTATGTACACCTTGGTAACAGTATGAATCTAAGTGTTATACTTTCATACTCATTGTCACTCAATGATCAAACTCCATATACGTCATTTTTAACCATCGTGGCTTCTGGGAGAAAAATTATGTCAGTGAATGAACCAGTTGGTCAGTCAGTGAGTGGGGATGTAGTTTTATATTACTGTTTGTAACGTTTCGTTATGTTGTATGTCACGTTACCCATAATTGGGTTAAACTATAACGCTTAAAAATAGCAACATTTGAGTTGAGGTTTTATGTTCCAACCGATAACCATAAATTTTATTTTTTTATTTATTAAATATTAGTTGTTAAGTCTATTTATATGCGAAATGTGATTCCATCTTGCTTTTTATTTTTGAAGATTGGTTTTTACATCCTTTCACTACACAATTCGGCATTTTCGCTAATAAATATTGCAATTTATTATTACGTCGCGATTCGTACGTCGGGATAGCTCGACATATACAAGGCGTAGTTTTGTTACATGTGCGTATAACTGTGTATGTACACGGCGAGGCGTAGTTTTACCGGCCTTAGTGCGTTATTCGCAGAGCACTGGCTTCAACTTTTTATTTTGTCTAAGTATATAACGTGGTAACTACGGAACTTTGATAGCGCGATTTAAGCTTCGGTGCGTTTCGATTATGGCACGACTACAGCGCCACCACAATTTAATTCCTCAGAGTTGAGTATAATATGTCGATTGCTGTCCAGGTATCGGCACCTGGCCGCGCTGGCGCCTCGCCTTATGCACCACACGCTGCTGGACGAGTTCATCTTCTGGACTTTCAAGTACGAGTTCCCGCAAAATGTCGTCTGCTTCCTGCTCAACATGCTGCCCGATCAGGACTATAAGGTGAAAACCATTTTACTAAACATCCTAGATTTCACAATGATTGAGGGAATTTGTACATTTTATTGGAATCATACTTAATGAGAGATTTGATTATATTTCTTAACATTATTCTTCAAATTAACTCACATTGAAGGGGTAATTCTTATATTTGAAATTTATTCTGTGTTATTATTTAGAGTACCTAATGTTTATTACTCTTTTCTGGTGGTAAAGAAATATCCAGTACTCCAAATCTACCCGCGGGTGCCGTAAGAAGTGACAGAGGGATACAAATCATGAGATGGGCGGCAGCGCCTTTTTAATAACAAGTAAAAATAAAAAAAGTTGTAGCACGAATAGGTCGATTCGACCGGGGAAGGACCACGCTCTCAAAAAAAACCAGCGTAATATAGTAGCTTACTGCTGCTGTGTTTGGTATGGTGAGTGCAGATAACTGGAGACCCTTTCTACTGGAAACGAGGCATTCCATCTTAGTCCTCACGGGTGACAACGCATCTGCATTTTGATTCGTGATCGAGGATAGAGGTAGATTTCAATGGACGCCAACAACCACTTACCATCAGGTGGACTGTGTGCTCGTTTGTCACCCTATCTTATTTTAAAAAAAAACTGTTTTTGCCAATCCATTTGTCAAGCGTTGCAATTAAGGCAAATATCCCACCTATGAGTCAATCTACGGGGAGGCCTATGTTCAGCAGTGGACTTTAATAGACTGAAACCGTAACGGTAATGTTTTGTTCGCCGCTCCATTACATTATACAAGGGCTTAAATCAATCCGAAAATAACAATCGAAATGAATTAAGTGTAGTGATTAATAATATTTATAATACTGCATTAGTATATAGTGTCCTGGTTGGGATGCTCAAGCCATGAGGGTCGGGGTAAGACAAGAAACAAATGTGTAAGATATTTATAAGCAACACAAAAGGCTACAATAAAGACACTACAAAGCAAACAACTAGGTAACTTAAGCATAATCTACAATCATCTTAACACTAAACTAGGTAAACACTTAATATTTTGCTAAATCATAGTCTACACATTGACTGAAAAATAAAATTTACTTACAACTAAATATAAAATTTACTACCGGTTCCTTTATTTTGTACATGAGAGCATAAAGTTTATCACAAAATTATAAGAACCATAAAAAGAAAAAAACTTATCAAAAACTCGAATCATTTTGTACTCAGGGCTTGAATCGGGAACCTTAGGAAGTCGCCTGATGCATGTATTGCCGCTCTAACCGATGGGCTATGCTTACCGACGACGACCTATTTCAAATAAGGATATAGTATCATTAGCCACTGTCTTCATCTTTTATGACAAGTAAATTTTGCTGATAAGTGATAACACTTTATATCAGAGATGTGGGAAGGCGCTATTGTCACAATTAACTTAATATGGGCGTTTCCAAAGACTGAAATAATTGCATAGTCTAAAAACACTATTCCAGAATTACTCAGATTACCAAATAACGTACTATTAAACACCCCATTGCATCTCTAAAATTAACGTTTCACGAATATAAGCTTCTATTTAAAATACAAAGACTTCACTGATATACAGTTTTAAAACATATAAGCTAAACTTGTACTTATTTAAACTCCAAATGTCTGACAAGAATTACCATTACGTAGTATTATTACTAAAGACCGATTTACACTTCGACAAGTACAGTAGCGAGCTAACTCGCCAACCTGACGAGTTAAATAGAAAATTTCGTTTGAACGGTGATAAGCGAGTTAAGTAGCAAGTTAACGATTAAGTTGAGCGGAATAGCCGGCCGAGCTATTTTTCGGCGAGTTAAGTGCGAAGTGCTGCCCTCCCACGCGTCTCTCTCCACCCGCAACTAAATTCGCCGCTCGTGTAAACGAGCGAGTTTAGTTCAGTGTATAAGTTGACAGGACGCACGTTTGTGCGCCAAAACAAATAATAATTGTACTTTTATAATGAAACTCGCCACAAAGTTTGTACGGTACTCTTTAATGAATATTTATACGTTTTATATTGACTTTTAATAATGAAATGGACGGAAGATATCACGTGTAAATTCGTACAGGAGTGTTTAGAACACGAATGTTTATATAATAGTACAAGTTCAAATTATAAAATTAAACCTGCTGAAGATGCTGTATTCATTAAAATTTTTAAAAACTTCTTTAACAACAACCAGTAATACTTCTCTGACTATATCGTTTAAAATTTTTGACATGATCCTAGAACCTCTTAAACGAACACAAAAAAAATTCTGTAGTCTTGAAACATCATATTCCAACGAATTCTATGAATTAATGTCCTTAACTAAACTCGCCACCATTGTTTGAACGTCTGTCCACTTAACCGTTTACTGTCAACTGCCCCGTAACTAAACTCGCTACTGTACTTGTCGAAGTATAAATCGGTCTTTCTCTGTTACCGCTTGTCACAAACTCGGCCCTCCGCCGTCCGTCCCCAGTTTCTACCCTCCATTCCTTTTATAAAGTTTGGAAACAAGTCCCATCTCAATTATCAAGTAAATTGCAACACTTTTTATCATCACAAAGGATAAATAATCAACAGAAGTAGGATATGAATCAGTAATATTTAATTATCTTTTAAAAAATGAGGGCTAATAATCTTTCGTTCACAAGATGTCCCTAGTTTTTTTTTAGTTATATCTAAATAACGTTGGGACTGAAGTAGTCTTTTGTTACACATTGTTATAGATTTAAGAAGTTTCCTTTTAAATAAAATTTTATCGGTTTCTAGAGTCTTATTACTCTAAATACACAACGCTATGACTCAGTGGTTTTCTCCATTTTTTTATATTTGGGAATATCTGTAGTTCGATTTATTCATTTCTAATGTAATTAATAAAAAGTAACTTAAATAACTGGAGTAAACATTAACCTTTAAATTTTCTTACATGATTTCATGGTAGGGAAGTTAATTTAACAAATTATATATTATAAAAATAAATTTTAACAAATTAACTTCTTCACCATGAAATCATTCAGATATTTCACCTCATTTCTAAGTGGTGCCGCAATGGTGCCACCATTATGTACATACATAATGGCACCATATTTCATTAAAATAGCAGTTTGGTGATGTGAAATGGGTACGTGTTTTACGTGGTAGAGCAATGCTGGAGCTATAATATGGTTGTAGCAGGCCACACTCTCTTAGATTACGGGCGTAAACTAGCAGTTTAGTGCTGCTGTTTCATATGGTTGGTGTAGAGAACCGGAGACTCTTAAGTGGATTTGAGGCATTACGTCTTAGTCCTCAGGGGTGACGGCGCATTTGCATTTGGATTCTTAATCGATGATAAATGTAGATGTGTATAGTCACAGCATCCACTTACTATTAGGTGGGATGTTTGTTCGCTTGTCAGCTTGTCACACAATGTGTACATAAACAATACTTGCGTGCGCAGGAGCACCTGACGCGCACGTTCGTGCTGCACTACGCGCGCATCCCGCTGGTGCTGGAGCAGGCGGCCGACCCCGACACGCTGTCCAACCGCGTGGTGCACATGTCCGTGCAGCTGTTCAGCAACGAGGCGCTGGCGCTGCGCTGCGTACAGCAGCTGCAGCTGCTGCACGTCATGGTGCTGTCGCTGCGCCTCATGATGGGCCGCATCCTCGTACCCAGCACGCTGCACCACGCGCACCGCCACCGCGTCATCGACTGCACCAAGCGCCTCATGAAGGAGCACTGCTACTGGCCGCTCGTCTCCGACTTCAACAACGTGCTCTCGCACAAGAGCGTCGCGTTGCTGTTTCTGCAGGACGACGCGCTGGTTGATATGTGGTTCGAGTTTCTCTCCATGCTGCAAGGTACGCGTCCCAACCCCTTTGCATTTCTATTATAGAATAGTATTAGTACACTTTGCTACTGTATTGCAAGTACTAGTTGCTACATTACATTAGTATAATATATAAACTATTTGTGGTAAACTTTTATTAAAATACAAAACTAACATTAGATATATTAACCAAATGCATTTCATTAAAATAAGAGTTTAGATATTAATCGGGTACTCCACTCGATGAAGTGACAACATATTAAGAAATTAGATTCAATGAAAAAATACGAAAAAGAAAAAGTAATTTATCTAATAGTGATCTGAGTAATAAGATTTAACAAGACTTGAAAGAGATTTAGCACGACTATTGTGGAGAGGTAAAGAGTTCCACAAACACACAGCATTGATAGTAAAGGATTTCTTAAAAAAGAGGAAGGAGTGCAAAGGAGTAGAGAGAACAATAGAAGATCGAAGAAACCGATTATGGGTAAGGGATAGATACTGGAAATATTCAGGATCGGGTTGGGATCCATTTGAGCTGTTTGCCATACTCAGAGATGCTATCATATTTACGCAACTAAATATAAATCTAAACCATAAATTTTGAATGCGCTCAAGTTTATCATTTATATTATATAAAATTACGTAATCTACGCACAGAGCTTAACGCAGCAAACATTTTCTGCTCTTAACCTCATTAAACTTTAAGGTTCAAGATGTACAGAAGTCGAGAGTGTAAGAGATATGAGAATATTCGCAATACAACCAGAGTAACCGACAAAGCCCAACAGATTAGTAAGCTGAACTGGTAATGGGGCGACTCGAGGAACCGACCACTGATGGGTAAGAAAGATTCTCAAGTGGCAAACTCGTACCGGTAGACAAAGTGTAGAAAGGTTCCCGAGTGGCAGCCTCGTACCTGTAGACGAAGTGCAGGGAGTCCCCGCACTAGAATGACGACCTGGTAAGACATGCAAGATGTAGATGGATGTTGTTGGCTTAGGTCAATGCTTTCTGGCATTCCTAGGGGAACGCCTATGTTCAACAGTGGACTTGTTATGGGCTGTTATTGTAATGGTGATGATTAGGTGTTCATTACTTCATATTCAGCTCAAAGGACCATATGTACTGTAACAATATAAACGTTGAATAAACAGGACTCATTAACAGGGCTAAAGCCAATATTTAGACATAAGTTTTTGAGATTCAATTGAAACTTATAATGTCAAAATCTGCGTTGTGTAGACCACCGACTCAGATTTAATACTTAAGGTTTGTTTTTAAATAGCAAATTTAATATATCATTACGCCATGATTGAACCCCTTATCCTTTATTTTAGTTTTTGGAAAAAAAGATTCTTTGTTAAATGTTGTTAGCGAGTTAATTTCTCAGTAAATTAAAAGTTAAATAGAGTATTTTGAACACATGGTCGAAATTTGAAACAAATAAAAAAAGATCTTTATACCATCATCATTGAGCCCCACTTGAGAGGATGGTAATTGTCACATACCTGAATGAGATGAATCAACATACAACTCATCTGTGTAAATGATATGTCTTCCTTCTTGCCTGTATTTAATTATTTTTTTTAAAGTACTCAATCCTTAGTAATCTAATATTAGTTTTCTATTATTTTTTGTTTTTTTTTTCCACCGGGGAATCCTAAGTCATTTAAAATTCTTCGCAGACTGCGCTCGGAGCCTTTAAAGTTAATATTTTCTTTTGAATTTCTTCGAGTGGGTAGCTACCACAGTAGAAAAGTTTTATTTGTAATGTGATAATTATGTATACAAGTTTTTGTTACAGACTGATCAAAAGTATTAATCTCGGAGATCGGTTTTTTTTGTGTGCCTTATTTCCCGTTGTCCTAAAAACGTTGAGAATTAAGAGTTTCTACGTCCTTTGACTATACGTCTAACTGTCCTTTCTGAGATTTCGGTAGCTTCTGCAGTCCGTTTAACTGTTTCTTTCTTAGTTTTGGCTTCCTTTTCCATATAACAGTAGACATCATAAACCATTTTTCCGGCATGTCCACGTGAATTGGTATATGTTCGTGGCATTACACTTAAAATAAAACATTCAAAGAAAATAATAACAATTTATAAGCGACAATAAAAACTACACTTAAATAACAAGTAACAAAAACTCATTAAAGAAAAGCGGTACAATTTAGCGCACGTATCTGTACTCGTAAGCGAACGGGACGTCGACACGTTGCGGGAGGTAATGGTGGTTAATATAGCGCATAGCGCTATATTATAGCGCGATATCTCTATAACACATAGCGCGTGTTATGTAAGTAGTCGCCATGGCGCTATTGCGCTATGGCGCTTTTAAGTAGATATTAATATCTAGCGGCAACTAGTTCTAGTTTCTACGTGGTAGAGCCATGCTGCAGTTATATTAGTAGTATAGTTGTAGCACGAATGGGTCAGCTCGACCAGGGAAGGACCACGCTCTCACAGAATACCAGCGTGAAATAGTAGCTTAATGCTGCTGTATTTCGTATGGTGAGTGTAGAGAACCGGAGACCCTTTTTACTGAAAATGAGGCATTCCATCTCAGTCCTCACGGGTGACAACGCATCTGCATTTTGATTTGTAATGGAAGATAGATGTAGACGTCTATGGGCCGCAGCAACCGCTTACCATCAGGTAGACTGTGTGCTCGTTTGTCAGCCTATTCTATAAAAAAAAAAGCAGCAGCGCTGTTCAAAGTAGACGTGTGACGCAAATTTGATCTAGTAGCGCGCTATTCATCGCGCGCGACCTAATTTGGTGTTAGACGTTGTTTAGTTAGTGTATACTGTACATTTATAAGTGATCGAACGACATAGTTGTCTGCTATAAAAGAAGACCAACTAATGTTTTTAAATGTGAATAAAATATAGATACAAAAGTGTATATAATGATGTATGTAAATAGTTGATTTTCATAAATACAATCAATAAACTTTTAAATACACCTTTACTAGATTTATAATTTATATTAACGTTTACACTTTACATCAATTATAATAAAAAATAATTAATTTTATTTCGGTTTTAAAAGTACGTGTCTAAAAAATATTTTTAGGATTATAGAAAGTCGTAAGCCTGTAAAGTATGAGAAAGCGTTCATTAGTTTTTCTTCACCGCTTTAATAAATAATGTCCTTATATAGCACAACGAAATAATATTCTTATATAGCACGCGATCTATCTATTCAATGAATGAAATGTAATGTAACGTTCTACGAGATATAGCGTGCTGCAAAACTTAACGCGCTTGCCGGCCTCCTACACGCTTTCTTATAAACAGCGCGCTAGACATTTATAGTTGATAGTCTGTAGCGTGCTGTTAATTTATAGTCGTTTTGGACAAGTTTAGCGGGAGGCAGGGTCGACTGGCCAACCAATCACGTGCTCGGAACGATGCTACCTCGTTCCCAGTGCCCGTGCCAGTGCTTGATTACCAATGAGATTTATAAAACGACTTCTGCGCATAACCGAATCTTGCCAAGTTAGACGCCGGCAACTATAAAATATGCTTAATAAAAATAAAATGCATGTTATAATGAGTGTTTAATGTGTATTTGTGTGCTACTTCATCATATTGGGCTCTTATTATTGTAATATAACAAGTCGGTGCAGTTAAATTTTATTAAAATCCAGTGCTGAATATAGGCCTCCCCCACAGATTGCCTCATGGGAGGGATGTTTTCCATAGCAGAAACAGAATTTTTTTCTCAATATAGAATGTAAATAATACTTATTGAAAGTCACTCTTTTGTTTAATTTTACCACTATTTTAAAAACCTAAAAAAAACCTGGGTCCTGGGAAGAATCACCAAGAAAGCCGGTGGGGCTTTTAAAAAAAACAGCTTACAATCTTATGTTACACACTTAATTACATAAAACAAATTAGAAATAGCTTAGTAACGATCACCTTATTCCCAGAGGTTATTAATTATTATTATTCAGGAATTCCTTATTATAATAACCATTTTTAGACAAACTTTGTTTAATAAAAATTTTGAACTTTGAGGAAGACAATTTTCGTATATTTTCTGGAATTTTATTGTAAAACCGTATACATCGCCCAAGAAAGAATTAGCTACTGACTCGGTGCAGTCGAGTAACTTGTACTACTAGCCTTTGTGTTTGTTCTTAGTATTTACAGAATGAATGTCACTTATTTTTGTAAAACTACTTTTATTTTTTGTATATACATAATATTTTCGTAATTGTATTGCAAGGCAAAAGTTATTATATCAATTGCCTTTAATTTTTTGCTGAGCGACTCTTTACGTTTTAATATCTACATAATATTCATATATATAAACTCCTAGATTGCTTATGGCCCTCTTCTTTAAAAAAATATAATTTCAGTGTCAGTCGCGTGCGCCTATAGCAAAATACCATACGACATTATTAGGGAATGCAAATCTCGCGAGATTCCGCGAGTTTATGAATAACAATACTGCGAGATCTCCCCAATTTCGAGATCTCGTGAGATTGGCAGTTTTGTGTGTTTTCTTTGCAAATAATCCCAATATTTGAATAAATTGGGAACAAAATTATAAGTATTAGAAGATAAACATTTATTTTCACACATTTTTTCAATAGACTTTTATGCATCAATCAGTGTTAGACGTATCTGTCTATAATTTTTTAATAAACTTCTAAGTAGTAAACTTTGACGTACGTATCTATCAAATAAAATATGAAAGTAACAACCGTTCTTTTATAACAAACAAAACAACGAGAAGTCAAAAAAATGAAACTTACTATCTAAGTTGAGTTGACTATTTAACTGAGATATATCAATTAAATAAAACTATATCTACTCAGTAGATCCATTAGATATAACAGATTAATTAACAAAATATACCAATTAGCCAGACTATTAGGAATTACAGATTAATTAACAAAATATACCAATCAATTTAAATTTAGATTTTAGAGATATTTGAATTCAGTTTATTCAAAATATACACATTGCGTATTAGATTGATTGTTGACACATTGATTATTTAAACACAAGCGATTATTACGGATTATTTTGAAAGTAGCTCCTTATGAAGCACAAAATGTCCAAAGAATCGTTTGCTAAACGGCTTCTTATTTTATTGGCCAGATAACCGACAGATGGCAACTCCGTGTCCGTGTCAGTCTTCAAATAACACGTTTTTATAATCGAGTGCAATCTCGTTAAACTCGCGAGATTTCGCCCTTTTTTCGTCCGAGATCGATCTCGCTAAAAACGCCGAGATTCGCGAGAACGAAATCTCGCGAGATCTCTGCGCCTTTTTTGGCACGTTAACGAGATTGCATTCCCTGACATTATGCTATGAAAATAGCTAAAGTAAACCAACTGTTTCAACACTGTTAAGATTTCTAATCTTTTTGCAGCATATGCTGCAGAACTAAGTGTGCTTGCTAGTTTTAATATATGGGGGCATCACATTAGCATCAAGACCCAGCTCCTTCTCATTTAAAATTACATTAGTATTTAGATGTTTGATATTTATAGTTATGAATTTCATACATTAACTTTTAGTTTCATTCAAATGCAAATTATTAACATTAAACCAATTTACTAATTTAGATTTAGGCATTATTATTTCGTCATATTTTAATAATTGTCGTTTTTATTTGAAAATTAATGAAGTGTCATCAGCAGGTAATACTATATATCATGGTTATCCCGTACTATGTAAGATACGCCATTAATAAGTACAAGAAACAGAAAAAGGCCGAGAATTGAGCCCTGAGGCACTCCCATTTGTACTACCGACCCGGAAGATCTCATACTATTAATGATAACTTTATTTTTGCGTTCTGTTACTTAAATATGAAATAATTAATTTAAGAACATCACTTCTTATACTGTAGTGTTGAAGTTTCCTGATTCATGTTTCATGGTGAACACATTCGTAGGCTTTAAATAGGTTACAGAATATATGCAAAGCATCCTGAGAGTTCTCCTAGGCATTGAAGATATATTTAATCAGTTTAACAACAGCATCAGTATGTAGAGCGATCCGTTGTGAAACTGAATTGATTTTTATGAAGTAATATATTTACATAAAAAAATTAACATTTGATCAAGAATTATTTTATCAAAAATTTTACTAAGTGTAGGCAGTACAGAAATAGTTCTAAAGTTGGCGGGGTCCAATGTACTATGAAATTTAAACAAATCTACTTTGCTATATTTCATTAAATCAGGGAGCACACCAGATTCGAAACAAGTATTAAAAATAATAGATAGTTGAGTTGCGATTGTATGTATTATATTATAGACGCAATAACTTGAAAGGAAATCTCTCACAGACTTCTGGTATTCTCAATATCAATAATTTTAAAATATTTAGTGTAATAAAATATGAAATGTAAAATTGTTTGTACACGCATTAAAAATTTGGCAACCGCAGTTTTTTATTTTGTGTCGCTCTGTTGCCTCTTACGACACCCATGGGATGATATGGGATAGTAGATTACACCGCCACTACACTGTCAACAAGCCTTACTGATATATAACATGTAAACCGACAGGCATGAACGTGAACGTGCGCGAGACTGGCGGGCACATCGAGTTCGAGCCGTCGTCGTACTATGCGGCGTTCTCGTGCGAGCTGGAAGCGGCCGCGTACCCGATGTGGTCGGTGCTGAGCCACCTGTGCGAGCCCGCGCACGCGCCGCTGGCCCGCCGCATGGTGGCCGCTGCGCTCGCCCGCCTGCAGGACTGGCTGCACGCCGCCAACCTGACGCAGCCGCACGTGCACCGGGTACTGACACTTGTTTTTTTAATATAGAAAAGGTTGTCAAAGCAGAACACGGTCCACTTGATGGTAGGTAGATGCTGTTACTTATAGACATGTACATTAATTCTCGATTACGAATCAAAATGCAGAAGCGTTGTCACCCTTGAGGACTAAGATGGAATGCCTCGTTTCCAGTAAAAAAGGGTCTACGGATCGCTTATACTCACCAAATGAAACACAGCAGTATTAAAAACTCAGCTGCATACACAATACTTGTATTTATACTGCTGAGTACTGAGCCGCCGCGCTCTTGTTTAATGTGACTAAGAAAACACTGACATTAGTTATGTACACACTTTTTCAACGTGATTTAAAGTTTATTTAAGATAAGTATGTAAATTTATTTCGTATTTTTCTAAAAATAATAAATGTCAGTAAAAACAAAACAGCGTGGCTTATTTGACGTGCAAGCTAATCACCAACACCCGCGTAATTCAGTTTTTGTCTTGAATGGCCGATCTAGTAGTGAACATAAAAGTCTTTGATTTTAACACGTAATACGAACTGTTTTATACATATTATACGAAACACTGCCGTCTTTATGTTGATGGAGTTATAATCGTGAGTCAATAGATTTGACACGTGTTCGTATTCCAGACAGAGGCGATGCACGCGTCCTTCCACTTCCCGCTGCACCGGTACCTGGCGGCGTTCCTCTGTGCTGGCGTGCGTTGCATGGGGTTGCGTGCTGCGGAGCTGCTGCCGTCGCAGGAGCTGCTGGCGCTGCTCGCCGTGCACCCGCTGCGCGTGCAGGTACGTACGCACACACGCATGTACTCACGCAAGCACGCATACACACTCGCACACACCTGCACATGCAGACGTACGCATACGCACTTACACGCGCGCACCCGCACATGCAGACATAGGCATTAGAGATGGGCCGAATATGGATTTCACCGAATACGAATATTCGGCCGAACGTTCGGTTACTTACCGAACGAATCGCCAACATTATTCGGCAGGATTGCCTCGGTTCTTAACCAATTTATGTCGAAACTTGTTACCATCATGCTCCCTCGCAACACCCGACATGTTATTGCATCATCTGGTACTGAACAATGCGCCGGCTACATGCTAATATTTTGACTATTTTTGTCAAAAAAAAAGGATTTCGTTGTGTTATTTTTTAGTGAATATTGATAATTATAATATGATAAAAATGAGTGGCATGAGATCTACTATTTGGACTTATTTTAGTGTAACTAACGACCAAAGTAAAGTGAAATGTACTAATAATGTAAATAATAATAATAATAACTCTTTTATTTCAGACATAGATCCATATAAGTTGTTAGTAATACATTGCGCACCTTAAATACTAATGTAATAAGTAAATGTCCTTAAATATGTGTAATCACTTTTCAACAAATCGTTCTAATAATCTAGCATATGCCCATCACATCTTTCGGCGAACATGTTCATTATACTGTTGCGGCTGCTACGTATTCTGCTCAACAGCGAGTACACTCTTTTACGCATTATTGCGAAGAAGTCATCTGTTCGTGTTTCTGCAAACATCCCTGATGCGCTACAAAATCTAGGCAGCCCCAACAGGGCCCTGAAAACGTTATTATATAAAACACGAAGGTCACGGTAAGCGCGCTTTGTATTCGTTGTCCATAAGCTGCATGCGTAAAAAGATTGACAGTAGGTTTTAAAGAGTGTAATCTTAACTTCTTTGCTGCACCGCGCAAACCTACGAATCAACATATTTCCACTGATCGACAGTGCCCTTCGCTCCCTCTCGATTTCCATATCATATTTACAATTTTTAGTTATGTAGTGGCCTAGATATTTAAACTCTTTTACTCTTCCTAGGGCAGTGTCATTAAGCAAACTAGGAGGCACATTCTTTGGACACTTTTTTCCAGCTCTAAATACCATAAACTGGCTTTCCTTAGCATTGTATACTAAACAATGTCTAACAGCATAATCCTCACAAACGCGTAATAATTTTCTAAGAGCACTAACAGATGGGGCGAGCAGCACCATATCATCGGCGTAACTTAAACTATTTAAATATACTCCATCTACATAACATCCGATATACATGCTGTTCAATTCACCGATTAGGTCATTATTGTACAGGCTGAATAGGTTCGGTGAGCTTAAACTCCCTTGTCTCCCATTCTCCCATTTGACATCATTTATTTGATTGTTGTACCAATACTCGAATATGGCAACAAGTTCAGCAGGTATCTCGGTTTTCCTCAACTTACTCCACAATATTTCATAGGACACCATATCGAAGGCTTTTGACAAGTCTAGAAAACAGGCGTACACGTACGTTTTCTGTCCGTGTAGTACTCAACGGTTCGCTTAAGGGCCAAGATGGCACTCTCTGTTGAAAGCCCAGTCCGGAAACCAAATTGAGCATTGTGTAGGTGCAAATGTTTTCTTAAATACGTATCAAGTAGAGCGTTCAGTACCTTTGCTAATATTGTAGCCAGCAATATAGGTCTATAGTTGGTTATGTCCGAGATGCCCCCAGATTCATTTTTTAGAATTGGCACAACAGTTCTCAACAAGTCCTTATTATATTATTAGGTAGATATCTATGTCGTAGGCACAGTGAAAAGAATAAACCCAAAACCCTAGAAAGATGGCCACCAGCATGTTGCAAATGCTCAATGCCTTTTCATGTTCATAATCACTGCACCCACCTGTTTAGCTGTGAAGCGAACCGGGTTACCGGATAAAGGGTAAAGTAATGTTTTTTGTATGATTCCAAAAAAATGATCAAGCTTTCTATTTACTATATTCGAAAATAAATCTACAGTGCCTCAAAAACATAACGCTATATAAGTAGATTTTACCCTTAAATATACTATACTAACATAATACTTTCAACAATAAAATTATTAAAGACATGGCAGTTCGTAAATTTCAATATAGTGGATACTTGGAGTACCACTTTAACGAATGTTCGGTGATTTTGCCAAATATTCGGCCGAATACGAATATCCGGTAAAGCTGCCGAATATGCTGAATACCGAATATAAAACGATTATTCGGTCCATCTCTAATAGGCATTTGCACTTAAACGCACGTACCCGCACATGAAGACGCACGTATACGCACACACACGCACTCGCACATGCAGACGTAGCCATACTCACACACACACGCATGCACCCGCACATGCAGGCGTACCAAAGGTTAGCTGGCAGAAAATGCCTCTTCGGTATTAAGTTCGCCTTTGTACTCAATTTTTTTTGTTTGAGTGCAATTAAGAATTTTTTATGTATCTATCTACGCATGCACACGCACTCACTTTCCTGTGCGTTGGAGTGCGTTAAATGTGGCTGAGTACTACTTACTGCGTATGTAAGTATACCTAATATGTAAAAATAGACTAATATTTTTGAATAATTTTTAAATGTGCATCATCATAGAAGACTGAAAAATGCCCTCATTACAGTAGTATCATCGGTTGTCGTCTCTCTCTTAACACAAATTATCCTTTGGTTTTTTAATTTATAATCTATGACAATGTAAATTGTGCAGCATGTTGAGTAAGTAATGCCGCGACTAGTTTAAATTATGTGTATGTACGAGCCACACACACGTGGTAGAACGATCTCACAGAATATCAGCGTAAAATAGGAGCTTAATGCTGCTGTGTTTCGTATGGTGAGGTTAGAGAACCGGAAACCCCTTTCATATTGGAAACGAGGCATTCTATCTTAGTCCTCAGGGGTCACAACGCACCTGCATTGATTCATAATCGAAGAAAACTGCGGATGTCTATGGGCCACCGCGTCCCATCACCATCACGTGGATTTTGTGCTCGTTTGTCACAAAAAAAATACACATATGATGCATGTTACTGGATTACAATATAGAATCATATACTAACGAATTACACGATGTTGCTTTTATAATACTCATAAGGAGCGTGAAGCAGTAACAAAGTAATATATGCAGATATATAAAATAGTGTTGTAACATCTATTTTATGCTTTTATATGGTCAGAGAGATAAAATTTTTTTTTACGAAAATTAACGTGTTTTTTAATTTTTATATTTGTAATTGGTGACTAGAATACTGTTTCAAATTTCAAACAACATATAGAGGGATTATCGAAAAACTTAATTTTAAACCGTATTCGCAACATGTTATCAAAGTAAAATGTTATAAAAGTTAAACAATTACTTAAATAACGAAAAAAGAAGGATAATATTTTAAGTATGTAGAATTATTCTTTGTAAAGACTAAAAATTCTCTGATTATAAATAAGATAAGGTAATTTATAAGAATTTTTCCAACGTGTGAGAGTTTTGAGTCAAACGGTTGACTGACGACTATTATGTCAGGATAAGACAATGATTATAAATGTGAAGATATGAAAGGAAAATTTTTATTTTTCAACGTAAGAATTTTATTTACCTGCTACCATTTTAAAATGATGCTCCTCTGTACAGAAGAGAAACGGTAAATTATCTTCGCAGTAATCCTCTTTTTTGCAATTTTTGGCCCCCATGATACAATATTCTTAATAAAGAATTTAAAGGAATGAACCTATAGCTAACCGTAGTATATTCTATAATAAAGTTACACAAAAAACATGCAAAATTAAAGCTAATAAATGTGTTGCAAATCAG